AATAAAAAAACTAAAGTCGAATAAAAAAATTATTATAAATCGTCGCTGCGATAAAGCAAAATGTAAATCAACTCGAAAAGCGCTCGAGATTCGTATGTTGACAAATAAACGCCTCTGCGAGCGGCTCGTCTGGGAGACACTTGACAAATGCCTCGCGGCGACTGCGCCGCCGTCTCCCCCACATCCGCATCTGGTCTCTAGTCTCTGTATCTCCGCACAGATCGTCGCCGAGTGGCGCCAGTCGAGCAGCGAACGCACGCCACATTAAGCGGGGCCCCAGCTCGAGCGACGCGTCGGTCGCCCATGTGATTTGCCTCCCGCTGTCCCGCCGCTGACCCGCTATGGCGCTGTACTGCCCCCTTCCCGCATTATTTGTTTATAATTTTTCAAAGCTTAGTTTGCTCGATGCCGCATTAAACGCTGGCATAAATGGAGCGCACGCCATAAAACAAAAGTCCAAAGATTCCAACCGACCCGAAACCCACAAGAAGAAAAGCCAACTGAAAGCCAAATGAACTTCAGCCTAATGGGTGATCCATTTGGGCCAAGTGTTGTCGGCCACATGTTATCGTTAGCTGCAACAGGTTGCACGATGCGACAGCCACGCTCGAGTCGTGGCCAATTTGAATAAAGATGCCCAGAAGAATTCGAACGCCTTGCCGGAAGTTAAATAAAATTTACTCTGCTCTTTTATTACAACCGATTGAAGATCTCTAATTTGATTGTTGACAAATCGAGTGTGAACAAGCCTTTCAAATTAAAGCCCGAAGGCTGATTGAATGCCTCGATAAACTCACCAACTTTCTTCAGCAATGCCCCAGACAAGACTGTGAACCATGGTTAGAAGTTATAGAGCAGATCAAAGACGGTAAAGAGGTTTATACTATATTAAATAATAGTATTGAAGCCGAACTCTTGTTCTTGAATAATGACTAAGTTTTCGAAGGGTTTTTTCAGAAAATGTTTATAAATATTTGCTGAAATGTTACGGAATTCAATTTGGTTTTATTTTAGGCAGAAGAAAACCGAGTCTAATAGACAAAAAATTGTAGCACTTTAGCTCACGTGACATACAAATTATGCAACATTCAAAATTGTAGTAAATGAATTAGTCAAATAAAATTTGTATATCCAAAAGAAATTCAACATTCTTTTTGTCCATATTAAGGTCTGCTTTCAATTCGATTTGAAGTTGAAGCGAATAAATTCCAACTATGAATGATTCTGTTTATGACATCGTCTCTGGGATTTCCAATTAATATCACTTTCAATTTCGACACTCAGCCTTGGCTTGGGCCTGCTGCCAGTTTGATGGAGCCGCAATCGGACGCCTTGATCAGCAGCCGAGGTGGAGGCATCAACTTGTCGTTAACATCAAATATCACGCGCAGCTGGCAAATGCCGCAATTTGACAATCAGTAGTCAAGTATTTGAAGCTTTGAATGGCCGTTGAAAGTTGCCCAACAAATCTGTCGGCCTATAAAACCAAATCAAAAACTTTTGCCTATTATTATTATTGTTTTGCTTCGTTTTATTTTCAACTCTTCATTGTTATGGGCTCGACTCTGATTATGTTGTGATAGCCATTTGGCTATAATGCCCAAAACATGCCAATGATTTATGTCTGCTGTGGTTTTTGTGGCTGCTGCTGGTTTTTTCTTTGTGTTGGCAATACAACTGGCCAATGGCTAAATTCGCCCTCCCCCGCACCCTCTCTCTCGCTCTCTGACTCTCACATGTGTCGCTCTCGCTCACCCTCTCCCTCTCTCTCTTTCCTCTGTGGATCTTTAGCAGCAGCAGCAGCAGCAGCAGCAGCAGCATCAGCAGCAGCAGCAGCAGCAGCAGCAGCAGCAGCAGCAGCAGCAGCAGCAGCAGCAGCAGCAGCTCACCTGTCATGTCAACGAGCTATGCCTGCCAATCGCAGCAGCGCCTCAAATTTATGCAAAATTTCTCTCCCAAACCCTTTGGCCTGGCCTGGTCCACTCCCGCCCTCGCCCCTTTTTTGTACAGTCAAGTGGGGGGCGTGTCAGGGCTGTCCCGCTGTGCGCTGTCGGCAAAGTTCTAAGCAAGTTTTTGTGTCACGCTGCTTCTGTGTCTGTGTCTGCTGCTGCTGCTGCTGCCTGTTGCTTGTTGCTGTTGTTGTAAAATTGATTATAAAACGTGGCGCATGCTGGGAGACAGCCAGAAAGTGGAATCGGTTTTGCCTTTAGCCTCGGCTCGATCGCTTGGCGTTGACATTTTTGTTAGATGTTGCGCGTAGCTGCAAGAACAAATTGCTGCAAGCTTTGTGGCAACTGTGGCAACTCTTTGATGCCACCAGCCACAGATCAGATTACCGAACTTCTAACATTTGTAGCTCTGTCCGTTCAACCTGCGGCTGAGTTGAAGGCGTTCTGGCAGATGGCTTCACTTTTTGGGCGCGCCGCATGCATTTTCCTGGTAGTTGCAGCTGACTGACAACTTGTTATTGGATATTGTTGATTGCAGCAACAGACAACAGACAAGAGACAACAGACAACCGACAAGAGACAACAACAACAACAAGTGATTCAGCTGTCAGCTGCTTGTCAGGCGCAAAGTTTTTAAAGCCGCGCAAAAAGTGAGAGAAAACAACAAAAAAAAATCAAAATAAAAATTAAATAAAATTTAAAAACAAAAAAATGCAACATTAATGAAGATGCAAAAGTTGACAGCGCACAGCTGTGTGTGTGTGTGTGCGTGTGCGTGTGTGTATGTGTGTGTGTGTAAGCTGCTCGAAGCAAGGCGATTAAGTCAACGTCAGCGACATCGTCAGCAGGCGTCGCCTCCTCTTCAACTTGTTGGCATTTGTCACTTTCGTTTAGATTTGAAGAGGGCAACAGCAGCAACAACTGCGACAACGACAACAGCAACAACAACTGTTGCCCATAAAGAGGTGTTGATTGTGTCACACTTGTCGCGTTTAAAGACTCAACTAAAAAAGACGCGACACGCCGCCTAAATATCCTTTAACTGTAACCAATGACACATCAAAGGCGGCACAGCCCTTGCCACTGTCCCTTCCCCTGCCTCTGAATGCCTCTGCCTCTGCCTCTGTCTCTGCCTCTGCCCCTGCAACGGTTGCGCATGCGTAATCCCCGTTAAATGTTTCGTTTTTCTTCGTTTTTCTTGTGGGAAAGCAACAAGAGCTGAGCACATTAAACATCTGTGTAGAGCTCTAGCTGTGTGTGCGTGTGTGTGTGTGTGTGTGGGGGCGCGGCAATGAAAATTTGTAAGTCAAACCTGTTGAAAATCGAGAACAAGGTGCATATCAATGCTGCCACAGCGCTAATGATGTTGTTGCCCTGACGCGGCATATGCTGCGGATATCCCTGACAGCCCAACAGATGCCAGCGATCCTGACGGACAGCCAGGCAGCCAGACAGCTCAGCCAGGGCTAGCCATGGCACTGCCATGATATCCTGTCAACGGTTCGCCTAGCATACGAATTAGAAGTCGCACCCGCTGTCAATGCCTTGCTCTAGTTGTGCTGATCATATGTGAGCTGAGGCAATCTGTTCAGGCCAACTCGAACAGCTCTCGTTAGCCAGCATTACTATGCTTTGTGTTTCTATTATGCTGCTGGGCATTTTGTTGGGCGCGAGACACGCCAACGAGGCCACATTCATTCATTCGCTGTGCTAAGTGCTTGAACAACCCAACATGTTCGTCTGCAATTAATAAGGCGTTCAGCTAAGCCGTCGTATGACAATGGCTCATCTGCGGTCGCTGGCTAATCGGCATGGCAGTCACTTCTGCTCGTCTCTTGCGGCATTTTCACGTGAGTTTCCCCTTAATTGGCATCGCATGTTAGTTAACATTCGCATTTTACATGGATGTTAGCCGCTGAGCCGCTCTCAGCGCTTCTCATGGCGAGCAGCAACAAGCTCGTTAAAGCTTTTAAACGTTTTTGACGGCCTGTCCACTCTCCACTCTCCACTCTCCACTCTGTTGTCTCTCTCTACCCTCTGACTCTCTTACTGCTTTCTTAATGCCTTTAAGACAGCCCTTTTATTTCGGTGGGCGGTGCGATGCAGCTTTTTGGGACTGAGGAATTTCTCAACAAACATTTCACATAAATTCTGATGTACGATATATGTATATATCAGTATATATATATATATGTGTGTGTGTATGCGTACTAGTTGCTCTTGGGGCTCTTTCTTGACTTTGTCTGTGTGTTTTTTGCAGTTGGCTCGGCGCAATGAACTTCCGTTTTTATGCGCGCCCCCGCCTTATAGCCGGCATTAATTTTATTTTTATTGTATTTGGTTTGTTGTTTTTACTGACATTTTTCCATTGTTCTGTTGCTGTTGTTGTTGTTCGTAAAACCACAGCGAGAGAGCAGTGTAATGAAGCGTTGCAAGGCGGCAACCTCGACGTTGAAATATCGCGGCCGACTATTTTTTATGATTTGGTTTTAAAAAAAATGTTCAAAGCAACAGCAGCAACAACAGCAACAACGACAACAACTTTGCTTTAGTTTAAACATTTGCCACTCGAAACGCGCTTAATTTATGCGTTTTTTATGCTGATGAAACGCAGACAGGAACTCGGCAAAGCCAACCGCGTCAAACCACAGCTAAGACAAAGTCTTCTTTTTTTTCGGTCACTCGGGGGGCCCAGGCCAAACCCTAGCCGAAGTCCAACTGAAGACAAATTTTGTAGCGCTAAAGTGCAAAAATTCAACGCTTGAATTTCGCTCTAGCAAAAAGCCAAAGCTCGGAAGACAGAGTGAAGCTATTGTGCTGGCTCTACCAGAGAGAGAAGGAATCCTTCTGCTAGATGAGAACTAGAAAGATCAACTGCTTCTCCGTCTTCAGTTTGCTGTTTTAGACTTTGGATACGGCAAACATGTTGATGTGCTGCAGCTGACAGTTGTTGGCTACGCCTGAGCACACATTGAATATGTGCGGCTCGTTGGGGGCCTTGTGGCACCGTGTTTCGAATAGACAAGCCATTGGAGAACGGAGGAAACTCACCTGTATCACGCGCATGGGCAGTCCCGTTTCCTTGGCCAGTTGCTCCCTAATATGGCGTGTCGGTTTCGGTGTCTGATTGAATGCCGTTTTCAGTACCTCCAGCTGTTTGGCCTTGATGGTGGTGCGGGGTCCGCGTCGCTTCGAGCCGTTGGCATCGTCGGGACTTTTGTTCTCCGCCTGGGAATCGCCGCGTCCATCGGGATCACCATCCAAGGAGCCCTGCGTACACCAACGAAAATGATAGTTATATAAGTAACATATTTCGATACATATTTTATATATCTTCATGTATGTGTGTAGTTTGGAGTGAGCTGCTCATAATCATTTGCCAATCATTAATCAAAAGGGGCTGACGTCGGGTCTACAAAGTGCGGCCCGCTTTCCCACTCCATGGCATTCAATTCCATTCATTACTTTGTATACATGCACATGTATTGGATCGAAACGGAAACCTGTTAATGATGCAAGCCAATCCACTTCACTCCACACCACACACACACACACACACACACACACGCATGCAGAGTTAGTTTGGACTTAACTCCCCACACATTCGGTGTTTATCAAGCGAACTTACCTGATCGGAATCGTCATGCGTATTTTTACTATCGGTGCTCATGCTTTGTACTGATATATCCGAGGTGCCCAACGGTCCACCCGCTGAGTCTGGCCCATTCGGTCCAAGCACGCCCAATCCCAGCGCCGGTCCACGCAAATGTGGCGGATCATCGTCGTCTTCGTCTTCGCTCGCCGAGCCCATTAATGAATCTGTGCGAGAGATGAAAGATTATGAGTTTCTCTTTGCCCTCTTTATGGCCACAATACACACAGATATATTTATGAATATGTAGCAGAATGCAAATGGAAGCAGCTCAACAACGAATTGGAATCGAATTCTTCAACAAATTGTTCTACAATGCAAGGCGAGCCGAGAGCCACTTAAAATACAATTGCAATAAATAATATTTGTGCTGGGCTAAGCCGAAAACGACGCCCCGAGCGTTCGTTTCGGTCACGTGTCGCCATTTCATGCACTAAGTAGCCCAAACCCAGAGACCGCGCCAGGCGCCCCGCCCCCGCCCCCATGTGCTTTCCGTGCGCCCAAACTCCGGCTCGTTCCGTGGAGTCACGTGTCAAATGCAGTGCTCTAGCGCTCTGGTGTTTGCCGCTCCGCTGAAGCCCAAATAAGTTGATTAAGGCCCTTTCCTTTGCCAAACGGAACCAGTCTCTGGTATGCCTGGTCGTGGGCTCGTCCCTGCGTCCGTCCGCAGCTCTTATCGCTGAGCTGTATGCCATATAAAATGCTGACACGCGTCGTTCGCATTCACGTTCACATTCCCATTCACATTCCCATTCACATTCACATTCACATTCACATTCACGTTCGCGTTCACATCATCGTCATCCTGCAGCGCTCTAGATAAGCGCCGCACGAGGCCGCAGAGTCGTCCATGGCCATTGGAATAGCGTTGAAACGTGTCACTCAAATGGCTCGATTCGATTGTCTTCTCAGATCTCCTCTAGCCCCCTTTGGGCAAATCTGTGCCGTGCCCGCGCCCGTGCCCCTGGGGACAGTTTGCAGACAGCGCATCCACCTGACTAAGGGTTGCGGCTGGTGGCACTCCCCTGGGCCTGACAGGCCAGTGCACGAGTTGGCCTCTCCGCCAGTTGGCAGCATTTGAGACTTGCCGAAAAATAAATTACACTTTATTATGCATAATCTAATCCGCAGCAGATGCGGCCCACAAGCACAAGGACAAGCAGCCGCCTCCCCTTCCGACCGGCGCACATCACTCGATAAGGGGGTGGCATGCCAGACTCTGATCTGGCTCTGTGGCTGTGATTTGTGCTGCTTGTCGCGCAATATGCCTTGAATTTGGCGCCCGGCTCGAAGTCATTAGCCTCAGTTGCAGCACCAGTCACTGTTTAATTCAAAGTCCCAGGCGAGTCATCCACCTGTCAGACAGTCAGCTGGTAACTGGAGACCGAGGCAGGATTGAGCCGCCCGGAGGGGGTAGCCATCGCCATCGCCATTGCCATCACCATCACCATCACCATCAGCAAAGCAAAGCAAAGCAGAGCTTAACGCATTACGAGTTGCTGTCTCTTGCATCAGCATGCAAATCCCAGCCAGATGATGACCATAATGCAGCTGTGTATCGCTTGCCAAATCGCAAGTGACGAGCAGGAAGAGAACCCGCTTTGATTCAAATACAAATGCTAATATGCGTATATGCAAGCGAGCAGCCAGGCCAGCGAGTGAAGGTTAATTGCACTCAGATGATAGAACTGTTGAGCGTTTCGGACAGCGGAAAAAATTGCAAAATTGCTGCGATGCTGCAGTCGGAAATGCCAAAACTCTGTGAACTGTGTCTGAGCTGATGGCTGCTTAGGCGTTAGGCAAAGGCAGTTTGAAAGGCGAAGCGACTGGCAGGTTCGGTAGAAGCGAAAAAGGCATAAATGGATTTAAGCATAGCTCAAGATTCATAATGTTATATATAACAAGCAAAAGTAGATGAAAATTATAGAAACAGTGAGAGAAGAGAGAGAGAAGTGAGAGAGACACAGTCTTGAGCGCTAAAAAATACTTCCGATTGCTAAAATAGGAATTCTGCCTTAGGTGCTGGCTACAAAAGAAGATAACAATCTTTAGATATTCTTCAGATATTCACAAAAATGCAAATAAAAAGCATTTTGCTTATGGAATACTGTGGAACACTGCAACACGACGGCTTAGCTCATTTAACTAAGGCAACACTCACATAAGCCCTCTAGCTCTGCCGGGAAGTACCTCAGTTCTTGCTGCACTTAAGCTGCTTATCTTTTGAAGAAAGGCTTACAATCTTATCAAGAGCTTCAAGTAGTTGTTTGCTCTGCCTTGGAAGTTTCCCACGAGAGAGCTTCAAATTTAAATGTTCGCTTAAGTTGCGTCAGGTGCGCCCCTTCAAGCAGCTCAAAGATTGCTTTGTAGTTGGGTTTTCAGATCAAGCGTTTCTTTATAATCTTTCAATTGACCCGCAGTACCAGCCAACCAGGCAGCTAAACCACCCAGCCAACCAGCCAACCACCCAACCACCAAAACAACAACAGCAAGTGAAACGAAACGGAAACTTGAAGTGTTTACCAGCATCGCTTACATGTCGCCAGTTGACAATAGAATCGAGAGCAAAGGGAAACCCTTGGACCACAAGCGGAACCATCCAATATGGCATTGAAGCCTGGTCCAGGGCGCACCATGGCGTTCCATATGGGCGCTTTAAGTTGTTGTTAACACATGTTAATAAACACGCGACCGATGGGCGATTGAAGACGGCAGTGGGAAGAGCTCTAGATGTGTGCGTGCGTGTGTGTGCAGCACGAGGAGGGTTGTCAGTACCAGCAACAACGGCAACAACAACTTGGCTGAAGCATCACTCAAATTAACTTTGAAAACCATTCAGGAACACTTCATTTGATTGCCACAAAAACCTTTGCAGCAATGTTTGCTGCTGCCGTCGTCGTCGTCGCCGCTGCTGCTGTTGTTTGTAATTGTTGTTGTAGCAATAGCAATTATGCCATTGAGAGCAACCCTCTGCCACACATTGCCACCCCCTGACGTCTGGCCGCGCCTGCCCGGCAGCCATAAAAGTTCAAACACTCATTTTTCGCTTAGGAAAATATATATATAGTAAATTTTAACATTTTTTTTCCTCGTATTTCGCGTTTTGTGTGCCGCCCTTTGGCCCCGCGCGACCGGCTCTGTTTGGCCAACGCAAACAGCAGCCAGCGGCGTTCTCGAGGAAGTCGCACAAGTGCAGCGACGGCAACGACAGCATCCTTGAGCCTTGAGCCCATCCGTTTGACTGACAGCCAAGCAAACATACAAACAGACAGCCAGCCAGCGGACGGAGCGGGGCCGCTGAGGACAGGCAAATAAATAAACAGTGGCGCATGTTGCCCAGCCATGCCCCCAATTGAACGCCCACTTGCTTGTTTGCATAGTCAAGTGCGATGTTTGGCAACGCATCTTGCAACAGTCGAGCGTTGCGTTGTCAGCAACCAACAACCCCCAACCCCAACCTCCAACGCCCAACCCCTGAACTGATTTCATTGCCAAGTCCCATTCAGATGAGCCCATTCAAAAACCCTCCGCGCCCAACCCCTGAAATTCCTTGACAAATGCTCAGCATATTTTTAGACTCTCGTAACTCCACTGTTCTGATAACATAGCTGCTAGGCTTACTTATCTAAGGCCGTAGGGAAATAGACATGTTTGTACTCGCACAGCAACTGACTTATGCAGCAACAAAAGAAAGTTAACTAATCGATATTGTGTTAGTTAAGAAAGTTTATATAGGGAAATAGGAAAGATGCAAGGGACGACTATATATACTAGAAAGATGAAAGACGTGGGTTAAAAATATCTAAGTAAATGGAGACGGCGAAACTCATTCGACATCCGACAAGCTACAGATAGGTAAAGCAGTAAACAGGGTTGCCAGCTATATCTTATAGTACTTATCAATTGATAGGGTTGCCAGCTATATCTAGTAGTGTATCAATTTATAGGTTGGACTTCCAAATCATAGTAACAGTTTTAGCAGTAAACAGGGTTGCCACCTATATCTGAGTAACTTATCAATTGATAGGGTTGCCAGCTATATCTAGTAGTGTATCAATTTATAGGTTGGTCTTCTAAATCATAGTAACAGTTTAACTTTTAGCAGTAAACAGGGTTGCCATCTACATCTTATAGTACTTATCAATTGATAGGGTTGCCAGCTATATCTAGTAGTGTATCAATTTATAGGTTAGTCTCCAAATCATAGTAACAGTTTTAGCAGTAAACAGGGTTGCCACCTATATCTAAGTAACTTATCAATTGATAGGGTTGCCAGCTATAACAAGTAGTGTATCACTGGATAAGTTGGTCTTCCAAATCATAGTAATAGTTTAACTTTTAGCCAGGGTTGCAAAATCGTGAGTGTTTAACTAAACAGGGTTGCCATCTATTTAAATTACACCACCTTTAGTTACAGATTAATGTTCATATTCAAATTTAAGGCTGCTGAGTAACACTAATCATTTGGCGGGGTTGTCACCTTTATCCGTGTAACTTATCATGTGATAGGGTTGCCACCTAAATCTGAGTTATATATGAAGTGACAGCAATGTCGCTTATATCTAAGCAATTTAACAATTGACAGGGTTGCCACGTCTGAGTAGTTTCTCAGTTGACAGGGTTGCCAACTCTAAGTAGCTTACAGTTGACGGGGTTGCCACCTATATCTGAGTAACAAAACGTTGAATCTTCTATATCTTAGTAGCATCTTAACTATTAGTCAGGGTTGTCGCATCTAACTTAGACATGGCTTACTGATTAGTCCGGGTTGCCACCTATTCGTAACACGTCAGCTTCAGCTGTAGCTTGTTTGAGCAACTGAGCAACTCTATACACCTTTTCGGTGACAAGTGCACAAGTGGCTCTGCGCACGTGAGTCAGGGGTTGTGCGGCTAAGCCACCCTCACACCCTTATCGTCAAATTACCCCACCCTAACGCACCCCCGCACCCCCCGAACAGGGCATAGACAAAGCGCACACACATTAATTTCGAATTAGTTTTGCATCATGTGGTTCACGATGCAGAAAAATCGACTCTGCCGCCGTAGCTGGCAACCCTCGACGATTCTTAGGGGGACGCACAGATGATGATGATGCTCCCCACCAGCAGCAGCAGCAGCAGCAGCCACAGCATCGAACGTCGTCGATGAATTGCGTTGGCTCAGCT